GGAAGAGGCAGGTAAGATCATAAGCCAAGAAGCAGGAGTTATGGCAAAGAAAGAGGCAGGGAGACATACTATGCTGATAGACCTTGCAGCTGAGTCATGAAGAGTCTAGTTTACAGGAAAATCGCTAAGTCCAGGCAAAAGATCCAGAGTAAGGAAGGTCTTGATCTCAAGAACCTGAGACTTATGCTATGTACCTCAAAGGAAGACAGTTTCCTTACTGGTTTTATGGGGGGGGCAGCAAGTGGCCCTCCGATCCTAACATCAGTGAGATGATATGCATGTTGCTCTATGTCTTCCACCCTTCTATCCTTAGGCCTGGCCCAGTGTTTGTCAGTTTATTGATCTGAATTAAATCCAATTGACAACTCCTGACAGACCCTCAGAATTGCTCAAGAATCTTATAAAATCTATCCCCAAGGAAGAAAGTATGTTTTAATTTTGGAACACTAATTATAATACTTCTTTGAATACAGACTGAGGGTAATGGGGGACACTTTAATACCTCAACCACTGACAAATGCACACACCTAGTTTTTCTGCTGTAATATTGGCTTCCTAGAGAAGTAGAATGCGCTGTGGCCATGTGTATCATAGTGGAAATATGAGAAGGTAGTGCTAATTTTACAGCTCCTTCAGCTTCTGTTGGAGTAACAGTTCCCCTTAAAGTAGGAGTGGGTGTGTTTGTTTCCTACTCAAGAGTTGAGCTCCTCAGTATGCATCACACATCTTAAATCTCAATATGCTGCTCCCTGTTTTAGCTCCAAAACCATCAAATTCAAATTGTCCCAAGAGAAGCAACTCCCCTCCTTTTCAAATGGCGTACATCACCACTTCCATATATACTTACTCCACTCATAATGGAACATACCAACATCAGGCATTGGAAGGCTGAATGTGAACAACACTAGTTTAAACTTACATGATAAATGTTCAAGCAGCCTTCTAGAGCATGATTTTCATGGGCATTCTTTTACTATAGGGTAAGGAGGATACTTTGGGAAGTGACAGAAACCCAAAGTGGTGAATTTAAGCAAAAGGAGAAAATGTTGGCTCATGCAACAGAGAAAGCTGTTCAAGTAGTTCACAAGATTGGAAGAATTGCTTAGGGAGTCAGGTCTTAAGGATAAGTTCAGAGGAATTGCCTCCAGATCTCTGTCTTTATCTCTTGATTCTGCTTGTCTCTCCTTGGTTTGAAGATTGGTCCTACATGAGTCCTATTCCTATCCCTTTGATCAGGGTTTCTCAACTTTTGAATATGCAGATTTCCATATACCACCACCAGAAATCCCAGTTCAGCAGTTAGGAAAACCTCATGAAATGGGGAAGAGGTGCTTTTCCAAAGCAAAGAGACATTAGCAAAACAAACAAAAAATGTACATCCATGAAAGAGCTTCATTTAGGAATTGAAATTCCATGAAAGTGTCCACAAGCATCCGTGTGGTACAACAGTGATGCCACAAAAATATAGAGGTGGACAAAAAAGATGGAGCCTTTTGTATGAAAATAGCAGAGCAGTGTCCAGCCCTCCAGTTACAAATGACAAATTCATAGCTACTTACTTAATAAAAGTAAATAATGACCAGTGTCAACTTGAAAATGTGGCTTACCTCTTAATGATGTTAGTTAAGCATTTCCTTAAAATGCTAACTGCTATGTTCTGAATGTTTTTGTGTTCCCCCCAACCAAATTAATATGTTAATGACTGACTTGATGGTACTGGGGGCTGGTACTTTGGGAGGTACTTAGGTCATGAGGGTGGAGCTCTCATGAATGGGATTAGTGCCTTTATAGAAGAGACACCATAGAGCTTCCTTGCTCTTTGCCACCATGTGAGGACTAGCAAAAGGCACTAGCCATGAACCATAACTATGCTAGTTACCAGACTATGCTAGTTACCAGACTATGCTAGTACCTAGATCTGGACTTCTCAGCCTCCATAATTGTAAGAAATAAGCTACCCAATGTAAGACACTAATCAATGAGGCTGTTGACCCACTTGAGAAATGTTATTCAGTCTTTTGTTGATATTGCGATTAAGATTTTTTGATGCAATGACAGCAGAGCCCAGGAAGCAATTTTAGGATTTAGAAATTAGTTCTGCTTCTAGGGATTCAATATTAATAACATGCAATTCTTATCAGGAAAGACAGAAAAACACTCGTTCAATGGTTGTATTCAGTACCTCTTGAGTGAGAGGCACTATTCCAGTGATGAGGGAGACTCAAAATGACTATCCTCATGGAGCTTACTCTCTACTGGGAAGACAGTAACTAAATACACTCAGTGTAATAAAATGCGAAATAGTGGTAAGAGTGATGAGGAAAAATAAAGCTGGGTATAAAGTGTAGCAGAGGTCAGTGGGACTACGTTAGCTGAAGGGTCAGGGAAGATTGCATTGAAATGAAGTGAGAGTACCAACCATGTGTTGATCTGGGGGAAGAGCACGAAGACAAAAGTCTTGAGGTGAGCAGAAGCTTGGTGTGTTTATACCAATGTGGCTAGAGCAGCAAGTAGGGGTGATTGAGGTTAGACAGGTGAGAAGGGGCCAGGTATGGTAGGACTTTGTAGTCCATGGCAAGGAGTTGGGGTTATATTCCAAATGTGGTGGGGACCCACTGGAGGATTCAGGGGGTGGCAGTGATCAGATCCAGTGTTTGCTTTATAAGATCTGCCTGATTTCTGTGTCGGACATAGATGGAATGGCCAAAGTAGAAGCTGAATGATTGGGTAGGAGATCATGGAAACTTGTTCCCTAGTGGTAGCAGTGGAGATGGTGTGAGGCATGGATTTATGATATATTTTGAAGGGTAATGCACTGCAGACCAAGGGGAAGAGAGGTTCAGTAGGAAGAGGTAGGAACTTTTGTTAAGAATCCCGCCAAATAGGAAGAGTGATGGCTGAGGAAAAAGCCTTGAATTGGACAATAGGTCAGTTACTAGTTTTAAATAGAAGAAGGATATTAGGGGAGTGCCTGGGTGGCTCAGTCAGTTGAGTATCCAATTCTTGATTTCAGCTCAGGCCATGAACCTAGGGCTATGGGATGAAGCCCTGTATTGAGCTAGCTCTCTCTCTCTTTCCCTCTGCTCCTCTCCTCCACTCATTTGCTTTCTCTCTCTTGAACAGAATAGAATAGAATAGAATAGAATAGAATAGAATAGAATAGAATAGAATAGAAGGATATTAGCAGTGATGTTTGAAAAGTGCAGGCAGAGTGTCGGCGAGGAAGCTGGACAGCAGAGGAGTAAGGGTGGGAGTGGATGATGAGAAAGGTCAGGCAACATTCCCACAATGGCCCCTTTGAAAGTCTGGCCTCCCCATGGTCATGCAGCTCACTTCACTCTCATTTATAGGTCTGAACATAGAAGGAAATTCACTTCTCAATTTCTGAACTCTGTAGGCAATGTCCATTTACCTCTGCCTTCCCACCTCACCAGGATAGCCTGTACAGAAAAGGGCAGAACCTGTACTTTTAATATTCAAAGTGGGTGTTCATTTATTTAAATGTAAATCACCAATCAAAGTTTATACATTTATCTTTGGAGACATTGATCTCTATCCTTCTCCATTTCTTGGAAATGTCTGTTCCAAATTAATTAAACTCTCAAGAAAGCAGAGGATTCATGTATAAGGCTGTTAATTAAATTAATAGCTTTTTAGACCTTGTGATACATTTTTCACAAAGGAAACCGAAATAAGTTGCTTTTACATCAGGAACTCCATTGGTTTGATCATTTCAAAGGGATTGGTGTTTTCTTTTGGGGTTTGGCAGCCACCAGGGGATTGATCAACATATCTCAAAGCAATTGAATGAGTTGCTGTGATTGGTAGAAACATACATAGGAAAAAGAGGACTTTACAGCTATGTAAATAGAGTTACTTAGTTTCCCCTTGGGGAATAAACAATGTTGTAATATGGGGACTGAAGCTAAATTTGGTGAGAAGTGTTCACAGACTCCAGCAAAAGGATTTTGCCTTCCCTTTCTCATTCTTTTTACTCTACACATATACACAATTTTAAAACACCTACTGAATGCTCAGGACTGTGTGCTGCACATAGAATCACAATCCCTGGCATCAGAAAGGGAAGAGAAAATGAATAGGCGAACACAACAGAATCAATGATAAACAATCTAAGGTAATATATAATTGAAGGGCTAAACCATGTGCAACAAAATATGTTAAAGAATGTTTCAATCCCATAGAGTTGTTTATTGTTGCTTAAGAATATCAGGCTCTTTTCAGGATTATGAAAAGTCAATTATGATTCTCATATTCATCATGATAGTCATAATTATGTAGATTCCATCCCATCATACCCTGTCTTTTTATGTTCTATAGAATTAAGTACAAATGTTTAGTGTGGCATCCAACATATACAGCTGAAGCTTTTTTAGGAGCATAGGGATCAAAAACCCAAGTCAAACTGATTTTGGCAAAAAAAGAAATTCTCCAGCTCATATAGCCAGTCTAGAGGTGGGGTTCTTTTCATGCATGGCTTGATCTAGGAGCTCAGTTCCTCCCAAGCTTTCGGTGAAGCTTTCTCCTGCAATGTCTTCTGTATCAGATTCTATATGGTAGGTCTTAGCAGCTTCAGGCTCACAGTGCCAGTGAACCAAGGGCACATGCTTTCTTCCCATGAGACCCAACAGAAGGTTCATTGCATCTCTTGACTCTGATTGGATCAAATCTCCATCCTGGAACCGATGACTATAGTCAGAAGGATGTGCTGCTGCTTGACCAGACCTTATTAACGTGGATTCCCTTGTACTGTATTGTGTTGTCTTTAGGACAGCAAAACGACATAGCTTAAACACATGGTTGCTCAGTTAGTGCTTATATGTCCAGCTTCATCTCTTGCTATTCTTTATTCAGCCCCCAGTATTCCAATGACAAGAAGTCCATTCCTGTTCCCTAGGAACCCTGAGCCTTTTTCAGAATTATAAGCTTGTGTTTATGTACTTCCCACTGCCTGTGATGTCATTTCCTCTCCTCAGAAAAGCTCTGTCTCACTATTCAAGTTCTGGTTCCTAGCTGAGCTGATGAAGAGTCCTCCAAGAAGTGTGGTAGAGAAACATACATCATGTATGTGGTAAAAGAACACACATCACATATTGGGTATAACACTCTCTTCAGTGAAAGGCGTCATCAGGTAGTTCCCATCTCCTGTCCGTGGCTGACCATCCCTCTTTCCTTACAGAAGGCAGATCAGATTGAAAGATTCAGTCCGCAGTTTGAGGGCCAGGCCAATGGGGGAGGTGACAGAGAGGAGCCAGGCCGGTTCTTCAGGTGTCTTGGTGAGTCAGAACAAGTCATTTGTGTAGGGCTAGATTCAGAAAAGCCTGAATCATCACAGAGGATGGAGATACTGGGTTGGAGTTTAGTGTCAAACAAGTCAGGCTGGGAGAAGCGAACAAGGGGCAATCTGAGACAGTCTCAGGGAGGATGAGTCAGGCTCTGAAGGGAATGTAGACCTGACAAGAAGAGGAAGGACATGCAGTTAGCAAGACCCTGTGGGAACTGGGCCATGAGAGAGCATTGCTTCAATTACTTTTCATCCACATGTGTTCCTGTGCTTATTTTCATTCTCTTGGTCTAAATGATCCTTACAGCTTCTGCTGGAATGTGTAAGGTAGTGTAACCTCAGAAGGGAGATGGATACCCAGAAAGGAAAGATGATACAATTGAATAATCCTCTTTATGACTGCAACTTAGTTTGAGACTTGGCCCTTCGTTGTAGATCTAAGCCATTTTTACATCCCACAGGAATGAAAACAAGTTAATTCCCATAGACTTGCAGAAGATGAGATAGTGGGTCTATTTTCCAGTGACTCAAATATAGCCCAAATTAGTTTTCATTGGAGGCCGTGTGGCCCTTTATGACCACAAACAGCAAGCATATGGCCCAGAAAGTGCTTCCCCCCCTCCCCTATGCAGTTACATTTCCGGTACACTCAGGGCTCAGAGCAGCCACAGCTGAAATTGGCACACAGCTACGGCTGGTTGTTTGCTTGTCCTTGTAAAATTGAGCATGACAAGCCAATGAGGGGTGGAGCTTTTCCTGTTGTAAACACATTGAGAATTCAAGAAAAGCCAAGTTGTAGATTTGAGAGTTTGATTTGTGAAGCTCATAACTATTCATTCATTTCTTAACCATAGTTCATTAAATTTAACAGTTGTGTGACTCCAAATTCACAGATGACAACCGCAACATATTTGGGGCAATAAATTACTAGCTGCTTTAAGAAATGGGACTGATTGAACAGTGTACTGTGGAGCAGTAATAGAAGCACTAAAATCTATCTTTCTACCTCGGAGGGGTTTGTTTTAAAGGTTTCGATTGCAACAATAAACATTCTTTTAATCCTGCGCCAAGCAAGCAAGTCCACTTACAGAGGCAAATCATTTACTCCTCTTGTAATAAAAAGTAATTTATGATACATGATATCGATTTACATTTATACTTTCTCTCTATGGCAGGGGCATAAGGCTGCCGGCTTGCTCTAGTGGAAAGTGCTTTACAATTATCTAATGTGTGAAACAAAAACACTGCCTGTATTTAAAAAATAAAAAGTTCTGAAAGTGGGAGCAGGGCTTGGAATGGGTCTGGGTTGGAAAGTTTAAATGGCACTGACGGATTCCCACTTAACATTTGCTTCATGTGCAAAATCAGTGATGTACGATTTTTATGACAATTATTGCATCTTTCATTTGATTTTATTTCTGTCATCATTGAGTCTTCTTTTCTTTTCCTTTACAACCTTATCCTCTCCCTAGAGGTGTCCAGACAGATCAGCTCACCTTGTCATCTAAGAACTTCAGAGAGCTGTAGGACTCCTGTGAAGATGGAAGTTATTACTGCAAGCTAACAACCACAACATCTGTTAACCACTGGATAAAATTAAGAGTTGGCGAGGGCCACTGGGTCTGAACAGATTATTTTCCTAGTAGGAGGGTTACCCTTCTGATTAACACCCTTGCAACCCGATTAACTTTGGGCATGATGTTTACAGAATTCCGTCACTGGCCTTGAAATGAGAATCTTACTTGCAGAGATTCCTCCAAGCCTGTTGTTTTACTTTTCCCTGGAACCTGAGACCCTCACAAAGGCAGCCTGGCCCACCTATTGTCTGAAAACAACAGGATCTTCCCAAGGATAGTATCCAAATGTGTAATCTATATGGGAAATCATTGATGGTGCTGGTGTGAATGAGAAGGACACAAACTCAAGAGTTCAGGAAATACCATATTTCTTTATTTCTCAGTTAGCAATTTAATTCTGACTTTAGGATGCACCATATCTTGGCTGGGCTATAACCTCAGCTCTCTGTGGGGCTCTCCCAGCTGTGGTTTTGCTAAGGCTCTAGGAGTCAGGATGAACCGCCTTTAGCCATCAGGCATCTGTCCCTACATTTTTCCAGCCTGAGTCATCAGTACATTAACCGATGACCTTGGTTTGACACTCGGCACACAAGAGACTGTGTCAAGGCTGTGAATTGTGGGCCTTGACTTCTCATAGGTTCTGCTACTTGTTCTTGAAAGTGCCAGGGACTAACTCATAGGTTCTAATAACTGAGGTACCACCCCTCTGCTCCCTCCAGCCTAGATAATCTGTTTTAGCTTTGGAAAAGTTTCCCTTTCTCCCTATTTCCATCAAAAGACATGCACAGAGACTTCTCTTTCCTCTTCCTTTGACCCAGGGGAATCTATTTTTATCCTGGGAAATCCTTCTCTCTTTTCATGTTTTCCTCACAAGTACCCCCAATGGGCTTTTGCTTCTGGAAACAGAAGTCAAGAAGGGAGGTTTCTATAGGCAGTCTTTGTTTCTTTCCCTGAAGGGGAAAAGAAAATAGAAAAATATATGGTGAAAATTATAAATTACTATCACAAGAAATCATCCTAGCGTTGACACATAGATGCATTCTCGGAAGCAGATACCTGATTGATTCATTTTTGCCCTGGAAAACAAAAACAAAAACAAAAACACACTAGACAAAATGACCTGCACATCTTATGCACTGATTTATTTATGAAGTTGTCACAGTTTCTAAGGTAAAAGAATGACTGAATTTAATATGTCAATGAGGAGAAAGTGAACAGAGGGTCAGCTTCCCAGAACACCTCCATCTGAATGTTCCATAGCATCACAAACTCAACATCTCCAAAGCAGAATGCCTCAACTTCTATCCCACTAACCTGTACCTTTATAATTCTTATCATCCACACTGTTGGAATTCCCTCCCTGCTCCCTAGTTTTGGCCAGTCTGCCCAGGCACACAAAATCAGTAGTTAAACTGAAGGGTTGTTACAGCTGCTCCAGATATATTCCCAGACTCCTTGCTATTCTTCTTATCCAGCTGGACTTGGGACTTCACGTTTGCTGGCACTCTGCTTGACCCTGCCAGTTTGGCCATCTTTAGCCTTCCTTTTGGCTTCTTGGACTTCAACTTGCCTTTTAATATCTGACTGTTGTTGTTTTTTATTTATTCATTTTAATATTTATTTTTGAGATGGAGGGGCGGGGGGGGGAAGTGAGAGAGAGGGAGACACAGAATCTGAAGCAGGCTTCAGGCTCTATGCTGACAACTTTAACTCAGGAACCACGAGATCATGACCTTAGCCAAAGTCAGATGCCTAACCAGCTGAGCCTCCCAGGCACGCCAATACTTGACTGTTCTATCTCTTTAATGGTTGACTGTTCTTGCCCCATACAATTTTGGAAGAAAACTCCCTCAACCAGTTAGGCTAACTTTGTAAGCTGCCCTCCCCTGATGAAAGATGAGCCAGACTTCTGGCTTCCAGAATCTGCTTGATTCCTTCCTTTTCTTCACCTCCTTGCATTGAGTTAACCTCGAAGCCCTCATTGAACTTATTGTGGATTCTCCTCTACCCTATAGGCACTGCTTTAATTTAAGCCTTCATCCACTTTTCCCTGGAATATTCAAACAGCTTCCGCATTCTCTGATGTTATGTTCCCCACACGGCAGCCAGAATGATTGTTCTAAAATGCAATGCTGATCATTCCTTTGCTTAAAACTCATCAGCAAATATTTGCAATCCCGGTATCTCGTCAGAAAAAAATTCATGAAACATTTCAAATATATTGATTTCGGCTTCAACACCAGAGAGGATAATTTAAGAGATCTGAACTAGGGCAATGGCATCAGTGTACTGCAAGAGCTCCTTGAACTCTGATGTGCAGCATCTTAGCATGGCCGTGCCAAGGCCACCATGGCCTGCCTCTACCAACATTTCTACCTCCTGCTCTGGGATTGCTCGAGGGTATCTCTTACCTTTCTCTTTCCTGGGGTCTATTGCAGTCTTGATGTTCATTGACATTACTGGACCACTGCAAAATACCAGCAAGTATTATCAAAGAGCAAGAGCTGTTTTTTTTTTTTTAAGGTCATTAAGGACCCTGGAGCTACAGTTTAAAGAATTCCTTTGCAATTGCTCACACTGTATTCAATGTATTCCTTTTCTAATTCCACCCTCAGTGCTATTTCTGTAGAGTACTAGACAAAATAATTCCTCACCCTACTTGGTATTTACACCTTTAAAGTATTTATAGACTGCTTTTATGTCCCCACTTAGTCATCACTTAACTATGCCATACGCATTTTGCTTCCACACTATTAATTTAGAAATCTATTCCTCCATAAGGTGATAACTTTTCCTGAATTATTCCATTCTCTTATGTGGTTCTTAAATTGTGTTTTTTTCTACTTTGAATAACTAAAATTTAAGCCCCTTGAAGATAGCAGTTATGACCTACAATTATGACTTCAGCCTCATTGACATCTCTCATGCTTGACCTTGAACTGGATACAATATAGGGAAGAGACAGAAGGGTGGATTTATCAAGACTCTTTAGGGACAGTAAGTTCTGATTTCCCTTTCTGTCCTCTTTTGTCATGTTAAGATGCTCATTACTCCTACCATTGGGTGTTTGAGGCATCAGTATTTCTCTGATTGAACTGTGAATAAGCCTATCAAGATCCATTATTCTTTGTTATGAATGAAAACCTAGAGAGAAAACGGAATACTTTGCATTGTTTTTATCTCTGGAAAAGGATTGATCACATCTTATAATTTGATGAGAATTTGCCAAAAACCCAAATGATGCTTCTATCAAGCAGTGCAAATTGTCATTCTGGATCTGTGTTACAAGAAGTTGTATTTGGCTACAGTCCAACGAAATGTACCAAAATGCAATTTCCAAGGCATTCATTCTGCACTGTGCCCTCCCTTTGATTCTGTGCATGTCCATGTAGTAGCTGGAAAATATTCATTAAGTTTCTGTTACTGAGTGAAATAATTCAGGGCCCACTTCAATACATTTTTGCTAATTGATAGACTTTCACCCTACCTATGGCCCACTCAAGCATCCAGTTCTGTTCTAATCACAGGTGTCAATGGAAAAGTAGAGGGGTAACCCTTGAGCCCAGCAACAGTGAAAGCCACAAACACCTAAATTTTAGAAAGAAAGCATGGTGATTCGTTGTTAGGCATATAATAAAGGAAAAAGCCCTGTCCCAGTGGAGGGGTGCATCAAGACCAAGCTAGTTTTTGAGAGCTAAGGAACATGGGTGAAGCATGGGCATCCAAAGAGACAAGAGAGAAGGAATACAGAGAGAAGAGCATGTTAAAGAACATTAAAAGCAGCAGGGATAACAAGCTGTGGAAATCATAAGCCTGTTATAGATGTTGAGATGCAAGGCATGGAAAGACAGAAAAGAGAATATGTCATTGGAAAGTGGGAACCAACCTAGCATCAACACTACCTTAGTGACCCCCAGAGCCAGCTGTGTGTGCTCATTAGCACAGTTAGTGTAGTTCTGCTATCTGGAGGAGCCATCACTGTGTCTATGGGATCATCGTAACAAGCGACCTCATTTTCCTGGAGCCCACACAATTTTTGCCTTTATCGGTAGCCATAGCTGCATGGAGTGCAGAGTAAATAATTCATAATCATAAAGAAGACCTAAACTCAAATCCAGCTAACATGGCCATTTCATTTTCTCTGTTTAGAAAGCCACAAATGTGTAGAGCACATTTTTAAATTAATTAATTAATTAATTAATTAATTTTGAAAGAGAGTAAGCAAAAGTAGGGAAGGGGCAGAGAGAGAGAGAATGAGAGGGGGAGAGAATCCCAAGCAGGCTCCAGTCTATCAGGCTCAAACCCACAAACCTTGAGATCATGACTTGGGCTGAAATCAAGAGCCAGATGCTCAACTGACTGAACTGCCAGGCTCCCCTAGAGTGCATTTTTAAAGGTTTCTGATTTAAGAATAGTTAGCGTGGACTCTCAAACAAGAAACACAAAATAGATAAGTACAAAATCTCGAAGCCATGAGACACCTGCAACCCTAAGCTGAAATGAATGAAGATGAGAGGCAGAGGGATGTAAGAAGACAGGGAAGTTAAATTTTGACCAGTTTTCACAACACTTCATGGTTAACTCAGCCCATGTGCCTGGGAATGCTTAGCATTTCATCTTCAGGCCAAGTTGAATTTTTTCCCCCAAGTATAATTTCCTAGACCATTGTATCAAGTCTTCCCCTAAAGTATGAGTAAATAATTGGCCCTTTCTCAATATCAATTAAAGTTATTTTTTCAGAGGAAGCTATTGATCAGAACTTCTGTGATCTGATCCTGCTCAGGAAACATCTGACTTCTGGCTCCACACATGTTTCCCCTTAAGTGTCAGCCTTAAGTTTTCTATTTAATTTAATCCTTTTATACTGCTGATAAGATGTCCCTATCATTGACTTCCCCTATACAGCCTGTACCATTTACTTCAGAATGGTAACAGATTAAGCGTGTATTTACATGAAAGCTCTTCTACCATTTCCTTTCAAGTCAATATATTTACAATAGAACATACCAAAAAGTACCAAGGAATGTCAATGATGGGCAATAGCAATAGCATTAATGGCTTAAATGACCATTAATTTCATCCTTTTATTCCCCTGTATTTTTTCCGGTAGTCCTTAGTATCAGTATTTTGGGCTACTTAATCCCCCTACTCTGGTTAGCCTTTTTTTTTGTTGTTTTAAGGTTGCAAAAGATACTTAAGCCACTCAAGATGTGAGGCAAAAAGGAATTTTAACTGTTGAACCCTTGCAGCTTCCTTAATGAGCCTGGCTGATCTTTAACC